CTAATTAATTTATTCTCGCGTACCAAAGACAAAGCAAAAGCCAATAATTGGTCGTCCAAACGAAGAAATGTATTTAGGAACCAAAACCAGCCGATAGACGAACGCTTAGCTAGCTAGTGATCGTGCACGTTACACGACGGGGTACCAAATGGCGGGGATGCTTGACCGGAAGCCTTCAGCTAAACAAGTCGACTTAAACAGTGGTGGTCAGCATCCAATGAGTGATTGCTGTGGTCAATAATTTTGGGGAATTATTTACCGCTACAGCTCACTCCCCCCTAGTGGGGTCGTGAGGACCCTAAGACAGAACCAGCCGGAAGTAAAAAAACTCGATGGTTCCCTTTCGGGTGAAAAAAATCTTCCGAGCGGCTTGGTCTTATGCCTACTGGTTTGTCTGCCTATGCTAATGGGGTGTTTGTACATAGCTTCCTGGTGTTGTTCGTTGGATTCCGTGCTTCGTTTGTTTCCCGTCCAGTGCCCGTCGCACCTGGAAAAGAAAACAAGAACGCTAAGAACCATGTCGAGGAAAATGTACGAAATGAGCTTTTTGGTCAAAAAAAATTGTGTGCATTTACTATACAGTAAAATAATGCTAAGTTCAGAACATCGAAAAAAAATACATCTAATTAATTTTTTTGTGTATGTTACATGAACTGTTGAGAAAAAACTTTTTTGTGTTCGGTGGTACTGTATATAAAAAAAATTTTTACGTCAAATTTTTTTTTTTTTTTTTTAACGAGTGAGTTGCGTGAATCACACGACTTCGTTAAGTCAAATAAGTGTGCAAATGTTCTGGGAACCTTACGGTGCGTCCAGAACGGTTTTTCTTAGGAGGCTCAACCTTAGTAGCCAGTGGGCGAATGCCCTTGCAGTCAATAGTGTGACCCAGAAAGTCGAGTGAGTCAACACCGATTTGACACTTTTGAATATTGATGGTAACACCATGTTGGCGTAACCTGTCAAATGCCAAGTCCAAGTGCCTAAGGTGAGTTTCCTTGTCTGGACTGGCAATGAGGCAGTCGTCTAAGTATGCGTATACAAAGTCGAGACCGCGAAATACTTCGTCGATGAAGCGTTGGAATGTTTGGGCTGCATTCCGAAGACCGAATGGCATACTTAGAAATTCAAAAAGTCCGAAAGGCGTAATGATAGCCGTTTTCGGGATATCTTCTGTTGCCATCGGGATTTGGTTATACGCTTTAACCAAGTCGATTTTAGAGAATATAGTCGCGCCGGATAAGGTTGCCGTCAAGTCGTGTATATGAGGCAACGGGTAGCAATCAGGGGTTGTTTTGGCATTCACTCGCCGGTAATCACCGGTGGGTCGCCAATCGTTGCTATCCTTTTTCGGAACCATATGAAGTGGGGATGCCCATGGGCTATTCGAAGGTCGAATGATGCCAAGGCTAAGCATATGGTCAAATTCATTCCTGGCGATTCTCAGTTTGTCAGGAGCTAATCGTCGTGCTTTAGATGTCACAGGTTGTCCTGTGGTAATGATGTGGTGCATAACATTGCTGGTTATGCACGGTAGGTCGTTCGACGGGCAATTAAGTTCCGGATACTTGTCAACAATAGGTTGAAAAGTTGGATCAAGGATTGCCTTTATCTTAACGGGTGACAAGCTAGGGCCTATGTAGCTGATGCCTTTGATAGACAGACTAGTAGTATTGTCAATCAGTCGTTTTCGGCGGACGTCTACGAGTAAATCATGATGATTAAGTAGGTCCGTGCCAATGATGGGCATTGTAACGTCAGCGAGAAGGAAAATCCACCGAATAGGTTTGCGTAAACCTACGTTCAGATAGACGTATTTCCTACCAAAGGTTGCGATTGGTTTTCCATTTGCAGCCTGTAAGTTGAAGGTAGGTTCCTTCTGTCGATCTGCTGCTGTAGCAGGAAGGACGCTGACTTCGGCGCCTGTGTCGACTAAGTATCGAGTCTGGCTTATCACATCATGGATGTAAAGTAGGCGGCTAGTGCCACCGGCGACGGTTGCCGCTAACGCGTGCCGGCGGGATAGTTTTCCGCAGACTTTGAGACATTTCCGAAGTTACAAGGCTTACGGCAACACTTCGCTTCTTGGCCATAGGTGTTGTGGTACCAGCACCAGTCAGGGTTTTTCAGTGAACGTGGTTTGGACTTAGATCGACCACGCGAGTTCCTGCGTTGAGGAGATTTAGGACGACGGTCAGAGGAGTTGGAAGACATGTTCGACCTAAACATCTGCTGGATGGAGTTGCATAACTCTATCATTGTAGGATCCTTACTCGAAGTCTGCTTAGTCATTGAGCATATTTCGGGAACAGACCGTTTAGTTATTTCTAGAATCTTATCTGCAGTAATAGCTAAGTTCTCTATTACAGTACCCTCAAGTGTCACAAGTACGGTCTGTACAGATTGTGGCAACTTGGTTAAGAAGAGTTCTCTAAACAGTCCTTCGTCGAACTGACATTGGCCGACGACTTGTTTCATTCTTGTCAGCATGCTCACGGCTGACTGATCTCCTAACTCGATGTTGCGAAACAATTCATCTAGACGTTGTCTGTCCGTGAGAGCGTTTCTCCTGAGGAGGGATGCTTTCAGCAACTCGTACGAGTTACTTACCTCGGGACTCAACATCTGTGATGTTACGTACTTGCTGAATTCCCGCGGTAGGGCGTGAATTACTGCAAGTAACTGTGAACGTTGATCAGTTATCCCATGCTCACAAAAATCTGCTTCAGCTAGCAGAAACCACGTTTCAGCATTATCTGGCCAGTATGGTACGAGCTGAATGGTTTTAGGAGTTGAGCGGATACGGATGACCTTGGGACTAAGATCACTCATGACGAAAATTATATCGAATAATATATGGTACAAGAACAAATACAAAATGGAACGAACTCACCGGGATTATCTGAGTAAGTATCGTAGATGAAGTTCGCGGTTAGGCTCACCAGTTTAAAGGTTTGACGTGATATCTCGTTCAACAACTTCTAATTAATTTATTCTCGCGTACCAAAGACAAAGCAAAAGCCAATAATTGGTCGTCCAAACGAAGAAATGTATTTAGGAACCAAAACCAGCCGATAGACGAACGCTTAGCTAGCTAGTGATCGTGCACGTTACACGACGGGGTACCAAATGGCGGGGATGCTTGACCGGAAGCCTTCAGCTAAACAAGTCGACTTAAACAGTGGTGGTCAGCATCCAATGAGTGATTGCTGTGGTCAATAATTTTGGGGAATTATTTACCGCTACACCTTGGTCCTGACGGCATACCCGCCATTGTCCTCAGGAATTGTGCTGATATTTTGTGTTATCCTCTTACTAACATTTTTAATGCTTCTTTTTACGGTATCGTTCTACCTTTTGCATGGAAAAACATTAAAATTATCCCTATACCAAAACCATCTTCCGGTTCTGATATTAAATTTCGGCCTATTGCAATTACTTCCCCCTTTTTAAAATTGATGGAAAAATTACTTTTACTTCGTCTTGAACCCGCTTTGAAACCTTTTAATGATCCTAAACAATTTGCATACAAACATGGTAGAAGTACCTTGGATGCTGCGGTTGTCTTATATCACAATGTTGTCTCTTGTTTAGACAAAGGTGCTAAATATGTTCGTAGTGCTTTCTTAGACTACACATCTGCTTTTGACTCTGTACCTAGGGGCCTTTCGTTAAATAAGCTATCGTTGACACAAACAGGATACTGGGCAAAGAGCTGGTTGCATTCCTCTTTTTCTGATAGAATGCAGTATACTGTATATAACGGCAAATCTTCTTCTACCTCGCTTACAAAATCCGGTGTTCCACAAGGTGCTGTACTCTCTCCTTTTCTTTTTTCTTTCTTCCTACATGACCTACCTCATTCAAACGAAACTAACTTTGTCAAATATGCAGATGATCTGACTGTATCACTGCCTATCACTTCCGAGTCTGACAGCTCCAAACTTAATAGCTTTCTGTTGGACATCAACAACTGGTCCAAGTCAAATGGTCTTATATTAAATCCTTCCAAATGTCAGGCGCTTGACTTTACTTTCAAGCATCGACGTGACTTACATGAACTAGTTAGCTCGCATGATCCCTGTAGCATAGATGGCACGGAAATTGAAACCAAGTCAAGCATTAAATACCTTGGATTAGTTCTTTCCTCTGACCTTTCATGGTCATCCCACATCTTATCTATCTCTAAGAAAATGTTTCGTCTTACCTTCTACAATAAAAAGTTAAGACAATCAGGTATCAACCAACCTTTAGTTTTGCAATTTTTAAACTCCTGTATTTTACCTATTGTACTCTGTTGCTCTCCATTAATCTTTCATGGGCTTCTCAAAAAAGATTATATCATATTACGAAGAGTGTTAAATTCTGTGAGTAGAGCTTGTGGTATTCCACTGCATGAGCTCGCTAATACTATAGTCGAGAGGCATATAAATTCCTGTACGAAATGGGCAAAGCTATATTGTCAGACCCTCTGCACCCCCTTTATTCACACCTGTCCCCTTGTATCTCATCAGGTAGGACGAGAAGTCAATATAAAAAGATATATGCTCGTACTACTAAGTATAGAAATTCTACAATACCCTATTTAGCGCGTACTTTATGTGACGAAGACTCTGTTAGACGTGAAACTTACAAGTTACTATGTAATTAGCACAGTGAATCGACCCTTTTATCGATCATCTTTCTGTATTTTATGGTGTCACACTTTCTATCGTTTAAATCGTTACTCTGCTATTTTATTTTAGTTGGTATTACTATTATTACTACAATTTTGTACTTTATACATATTTTTCTCCGTATGACACACAGTATTTTGCTACGTAGCTACTACAACAATCGTTTTATTACTATTATGTATTGTGTATTTTTAATTTTTTTGTTGTTTTTGACTAAATTAGATGCAATATTGTACTGAAATGCTGAAAATTCCTTGCTGTATCATGAGTACTGTTTTTGGAATAAAGCTATTATTATCATTATTATTATTATTAAAACTCTATAATAGGCTTCCGATGCAATATCCACTGGTCGACTTCTGGAGGCTATCGTGGAAATATTGGGTGACAGTTTACAGTGGTCCAGACTCAATGAACAGCTTATCCTAATGACTAAAAAACATGGCCAAATGAAACAAGCCGTTTCCAAAATGGTTCAGAAGGCTATGGAATATCTAGAGACAACACCAGACGAGAAAACCAAACTTGAGTTGATAGAAGCTCTCCTAAGTGTTACAGAAAGGTTAGATAGTTTTCGTGTCGAATTTTTCGCGGATATATGTCGAAACCGAGAGAGCACGCTTGACTAAAGAGTTAGCACGGATCAGAGTCCCGTGGTGATATTGATGGGGCTACCACAGTGCTACAGGACCTTCAAGTAAGTTGTTTTATTATGTGATATGTCAGGTTGAAATATTTGGTTCGATGGAAAAAAGAGAAAAAGTTGAATTCATGCTGGAACAAATGAGACTTTGTTTAGCCAAAAAGGACTTCATTCGCACTCAAATCACCAGCAGGAAAATATCAACCAAGTTTTTTGCTGATGTCGAAAACGAAAATTTGAAGTTGAAGTATTACCATTTAATGGTCAACTTAAATGCCCATGACTGTGTTTACTTAAACATAAGCAAAAACTATTGGGAAATTTATAACTCCAAAAGCAGACAAGAGGATGATGCAAAGCGACTACAAGTATTTGGAAGTTATAAATAATAATGCCTTAGATACTTAGACATGTGATTGTATATTTATTACTGTCTCCTTATGACAACGAGCAGCATGATTTGATGTGCCGTAGAAAATTGGTGAAAGATATGGAAAAAATTCAAAACTACCTGTAAGCTCACTGTTGATCTTGATACAAATATTTCTGAATTTATATTATGCATACTCTGGGTTTTGCGTTACTCTTTTCGTCCTATAATAGTTTGATTATTCAACTGGCATTAAGCGTAAGCTAGTAGTAATATCTAGCTTCCCAGATATGTTAAGATCAGATTTCGTTCCACAAAGATTGTACATATTTACTGAAAAGGCTTTTGGAAGTAAAAAAAAAGGGGAGAGGTGTTTTAACTATATAACACTCACAAGGGATCTAGTGATGCACCACTCTGGGTAGGTGTAACAAGTCATACTGCATAGGGATTGGTTGGATCGCTTATTGAAATGTTTCTTCAGTTACATTTGCGTAATTTTAGTGATCATTTAAAGATTTTAGCTGTTTCACAGTGGACTTGTTGTTGTGACAACAAATAAGACCTTTCTTTATAACACTACCTTTTATAGGATTCTCGATCTTCATCTCTCTTAATGGGATAATCGTCTTAAAACTAGGTGAACCGACATCATTGTCTTGAAACGTTTAGCTGAACTTAACCACAAGTGAAGTTACTTTTGCTTCAGTATTATGCCCAAGTGCTATATGAATTAGAAATAACTATTGGACAGTATATACATTATAATTTAAACGTGGTTCCCGTTGGTAAGCTTGTTAATATATATAACTCATATAAAAGACTCAAAAGTTGAACTAATTGTATTGATAATCATAAGAGATGTTGACGAATGGTGACCATACCTGTTGTTTTTGATTAGACGTCAGTACTTTTTGGTCTTCCTTCTTGATTTTAAACCCTTGACTTTTAGCTAGTGTCCTGAGTTTGAGCTCCACCTCACTTGTCTGAGACTGGTTAGTAGAACTTTGCCCAAAGTGTAGCAATTTAAGTTACAACAATTTGTGAAGCATACTAATGTAGAGAAATAAATTCGTAGAAACTAAAATGAGAAATACATGAAAAAGAGAATAAGTACACGGAGAATAATTGGGATTTGATAGATCTGATGGTTTCTAAAGAGTGAATGCATCTGAGCCATTGACGAATTTGAGCCATATCACCAGTCATTCATCCGAAGCGCTCTGAGGACAACGGCAAGTCTGGGGCATTCCTACATGGCTGACTAAAACCAATAGTCAAAGACTTCGTGGATTGATGTCAGGCTTTGATTTTACCACCCATAATACTTTTCCACCCTAATCCTATGTCAGCTAACATTGACCATCGTAGAAGACGGTGGCTAAACATGTGCAACGCGTCCTGCCGGAATCGACTTCTATCAGTTGGGATGAAGTGATATCAAAAATTCACTGACATTTACTAACCTTTGGTTTCACGTTGTCGACAGGACGGATATTACTGTCACTCAGATTTGCGCCCAGTTATTGCTTTCCTAAAAATTGTATTCTTTTCAAGTTAGAGTTATAGCGACTTTGTAATATCATCACTCGTCACAGTAATGATCACAAATCCTTCCTATAAAGCCAATCGGTCTGAGTGTTTCTCTCTTTCTGCGCCACAGTTGTTGACATTTGTCATTATTCGAAGACTCATTATTCATCCTCGGTTAACAGGCATTTAGGCTAGGCAAATTGAAGTTTAGCGGTCTAAAAACTGCCTTTCTTTGATCATGGTGTTTTGTTGTGGACTTGCAAGTACTCCGATTTCTTTAGTTAAAGGTCAAAAAGGGGTGATCAGTATTCTGAGATAGTAGATGGGTATGCAGTTTTTTTATTACTTCAGAAAGAAATGATTATAACGTTGAAATCTTCTCTTCTACCAATTCATGGGTTTAAATTTTGGTGTCAGTTTTTGGAATGTAACCAAGAGCCGTTAAATTCTGCAGTCTTAGTAAACATGTGAAATACGATAACACATTTACTAATGCCTCTTTTCTTCACGATCATACGATTGAAATAAGGCATTTTTAGAAAATTCTAATTGAATAAAATCATTATATAAGTAGTCTTTTGAACTTAAAACTCCATGTGACATGGATTGGAGGATATTCGTTAACGTTATTCTACTTTAAAATATTCCTATGCTGAATTACTATTTTGAATTTCGTTTTTACGCTGTTTATCTCCTCCAGTGATATGCTCACAGCATTTACTACTCAAGAATTGTTAAATTGGAGTGAATTTTGTATTCGGTATGAATCTGTCTTACGCACAGAAACTGACATATTTAACAATAAAGTTGATCCATTGGAGTCTGATAAACGTTGGCGTGACTTACACCTATGAGTGGTTGAACATAACATTCGTGTAATATCTGGTTATTATACTAAAATTCGTCTTCATCGCCTAGCACAGTTATTAGACTTGGACATTGATGTAAGTATTTGCTTAGTATTCATACCTTTATTAGTATCCTTTATTACTATTTTACGCTTAGTTTATATATATATATATACCCTAGTGCCCACTGTTTAATGGTCATATTTCATGTTATTTCATTCTTTTAAAAAACACCATGGGCTAAATATATAATGTGAACTCGTAATACTAAATTTGGTTTCATCTCCAGTAACTTTTTAGTTTCTAAAATGTCCATGTATCCATCGTTGATGTGCGAGGTGTAAAAAAAATGTAAAGTGATTGACTAGCTAACAATTCCACAACTTTTGATCGCTTTTGTGAAGGTATTAAATAATAAAATAATAATTTTTCCTTCACGTTCCCAGTGGAACATAGGGCTCCAAGCTAGTGGCTTGAAGTTTCTGTAGCAGTGTTTAATTTTTACAGGATGGGGTTGCTAGCCTCATGTCCAACCTTTCCTCTTTACCAGGATTATCTCTGGCTCAGTGAGGTAAAGGAGTGCGCCGGCCGGGGATCGAACCCCGGACCATATGGATGATCGGCGAGCGTGCTAACCGCTATACCACCGACGCACTGTGAAGGTATTACTGCAATATAAATTGTTGAATACTAACTGTCCACTTTTTTAGTTGTAATATTAATTGATCACCACGTTTCGAGGACAAATTATTACTGCTCATAATCATATCAAGTCACTACTCTCACAACTTTTTCCCTTCATTTATATACATGTGTGGAATTGGTGATTAGACATTTGAATAAAAATCACTATAGGATAAGGTACATTCAAAAATAATAATACGAGTGTTATTCATCAATTAGAATTAGATGGAAAATAAGACAAGTGCTTTCATAGTCAAAATAATAAGTAACTTGTTAGAATGTTGTGATGTACTTGAATTAAAATAGAATTTCAAGATTTTTATTATCCTCCTCTGATATGACTGACTGGTGGTAATAATATGAGTCTTATTCCCCATCTGATTGTAATTGATCAATAACATTCATATTAATTATGAATGTACATTATCTTATATTGATTTTTATTCAAATATCTGGTGAATTCCACTCATGTATATACATGAAGGAAAAAGTTGTGAGAGTAGTGACTTGATATGATTATGAGTGGCAATAGTTTGTGCTCGAAACGTCATCAGTGTGTGGCTTATCAAAGTAAAATCTTATCATCATGAGCTGACATTACTTAGAGAACCATTGGAAAACCTGGGAGTACTGGACAGCTGTTTTGTCCTAGTTTGAGACTCTTCATCAGTACGTATCCACCGGGATTCGAACCCAGAACCTTCTGGTTACAAGGCGAGCTCGTATACCACTAAGCCATTGGAGCCAATCCAATGGTTCTCTAACTAATGTCAGCTCATGATGAAAACCTGTAACCAATCAAATCCCTACAAACCAACACTTAAAAATCTTATCAGTAATGGAGTTACAGTCTACCATAGTGTCCAAGTTATATATTTTTAGTTGTAGATGGGAGTAAATAAGTCACGTGTTCAAACACTTTTCCACTTACAAGGGTTCCGCCGCATAAAATGTGGTTGCTGAGTTTGCGTTTATTTATATAAAGCCTAATCAACAACCGACGTGAAAATTTATGGGTGAGTGACTGACAGTAGAGGTGTGGCTCATACGTTTAGGCGCTCGATTTCCAACCACTGGGTCACAGACTTAAAATCCGCTTGATCTACTGATGTTTAAATTTCCAAATAATATCACTATTCGTCACACAACAGGTATGCCTCACTGCAAACTGCATGGAAATGAATGTTAGTTGTTGATTGAGTAACAGTTGTCTTCTTAAGCGACTAGGCAAATCGCTAATGTAGGACTTGGAACTGTAGTGAAACAGCTCAGGCTAGCGAACGTGGAATATCTGTAATAAAATAAACAAGAATGGTAACAATCGACACCACCGGTTGTGATCAGTTCAGCTGAAACTCCCCCTAGGCTGTCGTACTACTGTGTACTGCCAGTCGTATCATGGTATATGCCTTTTGTGCTGACTGACTGGTCACGAGGGCTTCGTGTGTTTTTAGGAGTGTTTGGGCAGCTGTTACTTCCTGGCTGCCCACATCGTGGAAAGTGATTTTTCTTAAGGTACCTAAAACAAGAAGAGAATTAGTGTTGCGTGACCGCAGACCCCAAGGCAACAACTGCTTGAAGTCGGCCACGCACGGCCTATCTGAATTGGCTTTTTGGTTTGGTTCCGCATCAATAACTTGCCGCCACTTACAGATCACCGTAGGGCACGATTTTCGGGGTTGACCTTTTCTAACCCCCTCTCTCTAGAGTGGAAGAGGCAACATAGCTAGGTGGCATGCTGGTCATCTGAAGGAAACACCTTACTGCTGTTACATCTCTGTTCCCCATCAGTATCGCTTTGCCCACAGGCTCCCAGCAAACTGTAAAAAAGTCTTACACTAACTGCTTTTAGTCTAGTCACTATCCTAACAATCTTCCTGTCATAGTAGGACCTGCAGAAACATTATTTCCAGCCAGTGTAGCTTGTTGGGTCATTGCGATATGGAAGCCCGACCACGACGTCAAGGTAGTAGCTGTCTGTCGGGTACGTTTCTCATAACACTTTTAGGTCGAACAAGTTAGATGGCGTCGTCAAGACATGAAGCGTGGTAAGTGTCAGGCACCGTGAATTGGAAGTAGAACGTGACTTATTTTCCTGATTTCCTAATTTTCGTATGACTGAACTTTGGGGTCAAAGATATTGTATCAATTAATCTGTTGCATTTGTGGTTATCACAGGGAGATATATATTTGTATAGACTGGGTTGGTTAAGAATATGGCCCATTGTGATGCCAGATTATTCTTTGTCAGTGATTGATGTCACGATCGTGCAACTCATGAAGCCAAGCACCACATATTGTCCATTTGTCTCATTTTAGACTACAGGTGGCGTTTGTATTTTCATATAGATTCGAATCAGTAGAGTCTAAATCCATTTTGAGGCTGACTTTGCGTAGCGGGCGACAATAAGGTATTTATAAGTCAGTTGAATTACTTTGCATAGTGTCTTACTCAGTGTTTTAGCCGTTAGTTTATGTGTGAATAGCTTTCGCTCATCATGTTTTTGGTTTGTTGAAATCAACCTCACTTTGAACCAGACAACCGGTATTTATTAATCTTAAGCTGCAAATCATCAGCTATTCCTACCACTGTACAGGAGGCTAGATTATGGTGTCAAGATTCCTTAAGATGAATATTATTGTCTTTTTCACTTGTGTTTGGTTAATTCTTTCCATCGATATGATAAGTTTGAGGTTGAGCATAGTGTCAGTTAGAAAGGGGAAGTATAATAATGAAGATGTGAAACGGTATGAATTGAGATGGCTAGGATATTGTGTTTCACGTATGCTAAACTACTGCCTTCCTCGTCCAGCGGTGTTTTTTATTTTTACCTCTTACATTTCTGTTTATTTTAACTTCTTTGAATTTATTTCTCTATCTTAGTGAAAGCCAAATAAAGTTTGTCAACACTTTTTTGTTCAGAGTTCTACGTTAAAAAAGCTGGTTCAGTCAGTTATTTATAATACAGACATAATATATATTCATTAGAAAGCTGTAGGTGTATGGACTTACACATCACTGCTTCTGTTCTGACGACCATTTAGTTGTTCATATGCATGAAAAACGAGTGAATGGTCAGCAAAGGAGTGACAATCTTCTACGGATTATCCCCATCTATATATATATATATATATATATATATATATGTTGTTTCAAAGTTATCTCTGTGTGTGTTCATTCTCGCACTGATGTCTGCATTCCCCGATTAAAATTGTCTCTGGTAATGAGTGAAATTAATTGTGGTGATTATTTGAACCGAATCACAAGAGACGATCACTGTTGTTGTCGGCGTCACTTCAGCCGTGTGGGAATCAGTAGATACACTGCAAACATCTATTTGAACATTTAGAAAGCAAAAGAATTGAGCGAAGAAATATATATATATATCTGTTTTCAACATAAAACTTTGCACCGATGTGCAGCAGTTCAAATCGCCACACTCCATGTAGCACACAAAGCAAGAAAAGAAAGTAAAAGGAAATGTAAAGTAGAGACAGTGAACAGAGATGTGAGACAAAAAGAATAGTAATGTCGAAGAACAATGTAGTTTTGTTGGGTATTATAAGTCACAAGGACTGGATACATCTGCACCAGCCATTGAGACTGATTTTGAGAAACATCACCAGCAGTTGGTTTTGCCGTCCCGAGTACCCCAACCAGGAAGCCAGTCTACACCTTCCCAATTGGATTAAACTAACTGTTTCGGATTTCATTGAATGATGAGGCCATGTTTTGGTTTGACCACCACTAGCTAACTCGTTTCCAACCTGACCCATCCTGTGTCAGCTAACATTGCCCGTTGAGGACGGCGATGGCTAGGGATGCATGCGCAACACATGTCCTAACCATCTCGGTCGATGTAAGTTCACAGCCTCGTCTATTGATTTCCTCTCCTTACCTAGCACTCGACGCCTAACCTCAATATTGCTCATCGTATTATACGACTTCACACGGGAGATAGAACGCAGACACCTATGATCAAAGATAGCTAGCTAGCTAGCCAGTCTTTTCATGTGTTCCACTCTCAAAGGCAAGGTCTCACAACCATAAAGGAGGACAGAGCGGACTGCTGAGCAGTACGCCCGTCCTTTGGTCGATAACCGGATATCACGTCTACTCCAGAGACGGCGTAAACTGGCATATGCGAATATATATATATATATATATATATATATATATATATATATATAATACGCTAGTTATTTCTTGTGATTTCGCGAATGAGGACCATTTTAACCATCGCATGCTGATTTGAAATAGTACTCACCGATATCCATGCTGAAAATTCCATACTTGTACCAAAAATACAGTGTGGAATCAAGCCGTAATAAAAAATAAAATATCCTTTCTTCTTAATGTGCAATTTATTTTGCTTATCTCTCTTTATCTCTCTCTCTCTACGTCTTGTATTTTCTTTTTTTAGAAAGCAGAAGAGTATTTATCGAATTTAGTTGTGAGTAAGACAGTTTACGCGAAAATTGATCGACTTGAAGGTGTTGTACATTTCACATCGAAAAAGATGCCCAAAGAAGTTTTAAACGATTGGTCTTACAATACTCGGAACCTAATGGCATTAATTAATCAAACTTCACATCTCATCAATAAAGAACGTATGATTCATGGTGTATAAAATATATGTATATATATATATATATATATAAATTGTTGTACTACTCAAGAATAAATTCTTACTTGATAAAAATAGTTATTTGTTTTTGCATTATACAACTCCTTGCTTATTCTAAAATTGAGTTCTCCTGCTTTTCGATATAGAGTACGCCACAAGTAATGGTAGTCGTCGGCCTATGCCTTTTTTTATTCCTTTACGTTCCCAGTGGAACATAGGGCTGATTCAAGCTACAGGCTTGAAGTTTCGGTAGCAGTGGTATTTATTTTTAAGGGATGGGGTTGCTGGCCTCATGCCCAACCTTCCCTCTTTACCAGTCTTATTACTAGTTTGGTGAGGTAAAGGAGTGCGTCGGTGACCGGGCGGATATCGATCCCCGAACCACGTGTGGCGTGGTTGGCGAGCATTCTACCGCTGTGCCACCGATGATGCCTTCGATCACATATAAGTACACTTTTAGGTGACATGTTGACTCGTAAGCGTGTAGGGCTGTGAGAGCAGGGAGAATCTAACAATTTTCATTTGTGTTTAGAGTTATAATCGTTGTATAAAGTAAGAGGAATACATGACCCCCCACACCCCGGCCGACTAGGCATAACTACTGCTGCTGACAGGCAATTTTCATACTTTATTGGACTAGTTGATGCAGTTTGCTGTTGTCATGGTGACAATGGAAAACTACAGGAAGTGCTATGTATAGTAGATAAGATTTGTGAGCCTAGGTAGTTGATTGTGATGTTGTTGTTTTCTAAAGAGGTAGGTGGTTCAATTGTGAAGCTTTCGTTGTCCTTTCTAGACAGTATCTTTAGCGCAAACTTCGATGTAAAATGGACCTATTTGAATGCCCCATGAATGATATTATAATCATAACAATAATGGTCTTTATTTCAGAAATAATACTTACAATACAGCCTTGAGTTTTCAGCATTTGTCATAATGTTGTGTCTACTTTACTCAAAATATAAGTAAAATTAACCACAGGAACATTTCGACATTTACAGTATGAATAATGTTCAAAAATGTGCAAAGTATAGAATGTGAATAATAACTATGATAATAATTATTAGTAATAGTAATAATAACAGTAGGTTTGTTTCAGGCAATATCTTAGCATGTTATAGAATATTAAATCTAGTATTCTATTGACACAGCATGGTGAAGGGAAAAACAGAAGAAGCTGGATTCTCCGTGCATTTCTTTAAAAGTTTCCTTTTAAAAGGCAGCAAAGTAACACCTCAAGCCAGACACACCTGATGTACACGAAACATACAGTGGATATTAGTCAGGCTTTCAAAATAGTCCATACCCAGAGAAAAGCACTGTTACTTTGGTTCGCAGAAACCATTACCATCAAAAGACCTATGCATTACCATTGGTACACCCCGACTTACCCTACTCTGGTCTGTAGCTGGCGGGAAGTTATTAATGCGGAACCAAACCAAAATGCCAGTTCAGATAGGCATTGTGTAGTCGGTTTCAAGTAGTTGTCTCCTGGGGTCTGCGGTCACGCAACACTAATTCTCTTCTTGTTTTAGGTACCCTACGAAAAAAGTCACCTTCCACGGTGTGAGAAGCCGGGAAGTAACAGCCACCCACACACTTCCAAAAGCACACGAAGTCCACTTGATCATCACTCTCATTTGTCTGCGTCACCCTCATCATCCTGTCTCCCTCCTGCTGTTAATACTTACTATTCAGGAGGTCGGTCAGTCATCTTCCCTTCACTGTGTGACCGTATGTAACGACGAGAGTCAGAAAAGCACTCTCGATAGTCTCTGAGAGCCATGACGCCAACTTCATATTCGCGCATTTAACGTCAGGTCAACAGGCCAAATTGGACAACAGATGTCACTAGCCAGAATTCAGGCGTCTCGAGCCATGGATGTATGTTGTGTTTCGGAGACACGCATACAAGACCCGAGTGTAGTCATTCACTTAACCCAACCGCACCCTGCCAAAAGGTGAATTTGCAAAATTCACTTTAAGAGTGTCAGGAGACCCCTCAGCTAGTTCGCAAGGACTCGCAGGTGTAGGGATAGCACTAAGTGTTAGGGCAGAAAAATTACTTCTTGACTGAATCCCGGAAGATAGTCGTATGTGTGCGGTCCGTCTGAATGGGTGTGTTAAAAGAAGGAAAGACGGCGCTACCCGTCGTTGCCTTTTCGTAGTCTCCGCTTACGCCCCAATAGACTGCAGATCGGATGAACTAAAGGATGATTTCTCTTTGAAACTGTCTAATTTGCTGCGAAAAGCAAAACATTCAGATGTAGTTGTTTTAGCAGGCGACTTCAATACCGAAGTGGGGAAGTTATGGCTGACTCAGAAGTAAATAGGCAGTAGGTACGGAGTTCCCTGCCGACAAACCGACAATGGTGATCGTCTTCTACAGCTCTGTTCAAATAAGAAAGGTTGGGAGGGTTTTAATTAGAATTTACCTAGGCAAGCAAGGGAGAGACAAAGGTAGATCAAACTTCTTTTGTATGCAAAGACTAGGATTGTTCTCTTGGATTAATTCCCATAGCTCCGACTATGTGTAAAAGGTGGGTTCGAATTCCGTTCGAAAGGTTCGATGAAATGCGTTAGATGGCTTTGAAGAAACTTCTGTATGCTTGGTGACCGCTATCATTAATCAAATGAGTCAAAATAGGACTTCGCATAGATTTTGTTTGGCCTTTTCCGAACCGTGAGAAAAGGAAGGTGCGCATTAATACGTTTGTTGAGCTGTCTAGCTGTTCGCCCTATATAGCTCTATCCTCAGGAGCAACTAAATTTATAGATACACATGGAAGTGGCACAGTTAGGTAGCTTATCTTTCGCTTGAGCAATCATAATTGGTCGTCTGGAAAATGACAAACAAGGGATTAGTGGCAGTATAAGTCCGTTTTAATGCTCTCAAGAATCTCAGGTATAAGACTTCACTAGTCACGTCCCCATTAAATTAATTTTCAATTTTAGCAACAATTGTTTCTTTTTAACTGTGTTGTCAGTTTCTCTTTATTACATCTAGTGTTCATTTGTCTCCTCACAAATCTACTCGGGTAATCCAATTGGACTAGTGTATTTTGGAAGTATCCTAACTCATTTTCTAGGGGGTCATCTATACAGATCCATCTTACTCTATTCGTGAGGCATCTGACAAAATTGATTTAGCCTCGGATTGGTACAAAACTGAGGAAATGTGTATATTGTCCTACAATGTAGGTTTTCGACAAACATTTCTCTTGAGTGAACCATCCTCTCTTCTGCTGCTCAACTGGACATTAGGGAAGTGTAGTCTACCATCATATTCTTTTTCACAAATGAAGATGAGTGATGGATGTGCATCATTAAATTTTGTTAACATTTCATTCTTGTCAGCCTTCTCACCAAGAATAATAAACGTATCATCAGTATAAAGAGAATAGGAAACCGTTTTACCTATTACTTGTTTCAATGGACCATTTTCAAGCTTAGCAGGAAAGAAATCTGCCACAATTGGACCCAATGCAGAATCCATGGCAATACCGTCGATTTGTCTGTAATAAAGGTTTTATTGAATTTGAGATTTTCCCGTCGATTGATCGGACCGAAGTGCTCGGTCTCAGGTTGGCATGTCGGCTTCTTGTGCAGATGCTTCGACGATGTCTGGGTATTTAGTTAGTATTTGGAATCCAGGATGCGCATCTCGTCCTATTTGGGACTCGTCAGCTGGAGGTATCAGTGAGTGATGATGTTCCCACCCAGGCTCGAACCCAGTACCCATAGTTTCAAACGCCAAAGCGTTATCCACTAGACCACTTGGGCCACGAGAGCCACCTCTTGTGCAACGGGGCGTTTGAAACTATGGGTACTGGGTTCGAGCCTCGGTGGGAACATTACTCACTGAGAAATGCAGGTAAATCCAGATGACGAGTCCCGAATAGGACGAAATGCGCATCCTCGATTCCATTGCTAGTCACCATCCACCAATTAAATACTGTAATAAAGGTTGTTGAATGTGAAGTGTGCATTCACTATACATCTTAAAAGCAACTGTTTCAGACTAATAACTGGAAATCCGATGTCGAACTGCTTTTCTAGTATCTGCTGGCATATGAATTCCACAGTCTGCATAAGTGGTACATTGATGAACAGTGATGTGACATCTATAGACAGCATTTGCTTCCCACTTACATTAATATCATGTACTTTAGAAGTGAATTCAAAAACGTCTGTAACACTATGATTTACCACATCCTCGTGTAACGGTTGAAGTTCACTTTGCCACTCCATGGTAGGTGTAATTAGACGTGTCTAGGACTGGACGAAGAGGAAGTCTTGGTTTATGTACTCTGGACAGACCGTACAATTGTGAAGTATTGCTACCATTAGGTTTTGCTTTGTTCAAATGAAACCAGATCTGAGAATATCATCATCTATTTAGAGAAAGGTAGTAGTTCTGATAGTCTAATTTGAGTAGCAGGTGCTATTTCACTCTTCGTTGACTGGCGGATTCAAGTGCAGCGTACACAATCCAATGTAATTATGTGTCGCTTGTCGAGGGTTGGTTGATGTTATAAAGATAGAATAACCTCGCCTACTCTACTAGCCAGTGATAAGCTTGGGAAATGCGAGGAGATAGGGTGTGGGACTGGCAACCCTACCACCTAAAATCAACACAGTCGATACAGAAACTTCAATGCGGTACAAAAGTATAGGAAATAAACTTATTTTTCGTGGAATCGAAGAGTCGGAATGGCGCGGGATGCTGAAAGCCTTCAGGAAGCCAGTCGTCATCCGGTGAAAGCAAAATAATCATGAAGACGTGGAATGTTTTGCACGATGTATGAAGCTGAGTAGGCTTTTCATGTTGAAAAGGAAATGAGACGATATGGCATATAGACCTTTATGTTAGAAGGTCGAGTGAATGTGGACCCTCCGAAATGTTAACTGGCGAGTCAGTGATCCACTCCGGTCACTGAGACGAAAACAACCAGCACACTGAGATTGTGACTATCTTGATGTCATCAATGGAATTGAAAGCT